GTTTATGGAAAAGTCGAGAATTTACCAAATAGGGAGAGTTTCTCATCGCCCAAGTTTCAATTGGACAGAAATTTGGAATAATGCAACTTGGTTGCACAATGAATGAGAAATTTCATATTTGGAAATTAGACTAATTCATTGATAAAGTGTCAAGTGAAGGACTAGGACATCGAGTACACAAAGTTGTGTGTTGATCAAGTCCACCATAAAAGTAACAAAGATATTCGTCATAATTTACTAAAGATTTAGTAAATGTGATTATACTTACAAGATTAAGTGTAATTCTAAATTGATTGAAAAAGTTTAAATAAATAGCAAAATGAATAAGAAGAATCAAGTAGGCAGAAAGATAAAAGTTTCTCCATTCTAAGAAGAAGGGAGAGTACCTTTTATGCTTTATGATAGGTCTTAATGATTAAGAACCATATCTCAATTGACCCTCTAAGTAAGTCTTAGTACAATTGTATGTCTAAGAAGAGGAATCAAGAATTGAAGAAACGGTTAAATCAAAAAGTCAATCATACTTCGTTCCAATAACAAGTCTTAAAGTTAAAATTGTGGCAATAAGTGACAAGTATTAAGAAAGTTTTTTTTAACATTCATCAAATGTGGAAAGTTGTGATGTCTTGGATAAGACAAAGACCAACTAGGACCATTTTATGAAGTGTTATGTTTTGATAAAAACTACACTAACTCTTGAATATTTGGTTGTCAAGAAATGTTTATTGACAAGAGAATCTTATATGTCAAGGAGTCAGTGGGAGTCTTAATGGTCTTGAAAGGTTTCAAGAACAAATAAAATAAACCTTATCGATCATCACTGGCACACGAATAGAGGTTTACAACCTATCATGTTGATACTATTTTGTTTTCTATGCCATTCCAATTGAGTTAATTGTGCATATGAGTCTTATGAGTTCTCTTTGAATGCATAAAAGGCAAGGACCTTGATCAATGGAAAGTATTTTGATAGGCAAAGGTGAACTACTTAACTACTTGGAAGACATGGTGGGCAGCTGTGCTACCATAAGGCAATAAATCAAGATTAAGAAAGTTCGGTCCATATGAGTTTGAATTTGTCGTAAACTTTGGTTTTAACAAATTCACATAGATAGGAACACATACACCGTTTAAATCTAAGTATCATAAGATTTCCTCCTTCATGAAAATGATTGTGAGGAAATGCTTTCACTAAGAAAGATTTTAAAAAGATAGTGATTGTAAAATTGCATTCTCAAATTCGATTATGGTTACAGTATCCCTTTCCATGATTTGAGTTCTAAGGTTTGGCAATTAGTCTTAATTGTTTACACACATATGAACTATCTAAGGCAAAGGTGTATAATTTCAAGAAGCTTTGATAAAAAATTATCAAAGCACTAAGTATTAGAAACATGGACTTAAGAAATTCAATAGGTATTGTTTTTCTGAAAGTTAAGATGTTTATGAATACATGTTGAAGCTAGTGGGAGCATAAGTGTTATGTTTTATAATAATCATCATGATAGTGGGAGCATAAATGTTATGATTGTATGATTATTAAGAAATGTATTGCAAGTTGGCAATATTAATTATAGAAAACATGAGTCATTCTTTGCAAAGTTGTAAGGATGGAATAGTTGTTTTGCTATAATTAAGGGAGAGAATATTATGCTTCATTTTAAATCTAAAGGCTTAGGTTGTGGAATATTAATAAATTTAGTCAAAAGTACATAGTGTGTTCTTAAAATTTCGATTATGATTACGACATTCTTCTTCACAACTCGAATTTTGAGAACATAGCAAATAAAACATTATGGCAAAAGATTGATAAAGTATCAAATCTTTATGTAAGACATTTTGCATCGTGTCCCATACGCTTCGAGTACAGGATCGATTGCAAATGCTATAATATTTTACCATTCTAAAATTTTCCAAATGTTTAGCGCATTTAGAGGGAAAAAGGACTAGAATCAGTTTTGACCAAAATAATTAAACAACTATCTAAGGACAATCCAAAGTTCACCGAGGATTGATCGCTTGTGAGTAGTTGGAAGTATAGTATTGGAAAATATGGAAATGTTTCCATATTAGATGGACCATATCGACATTATTATAAATAGAAAAATATTCTATTAATAATGAGTTGTCATAGGAAAAATATGGAAACGTGTCCATATTGGGAATTGAATATTGAAAATCTATATCTAGATTAGAAACTTTTATGCAAAAGGATTTTTAAAGGAATGTACTTTGAGTGAGAGACGTCACATCTATGGAATTGTCTTGTAACAACATCCAATAGAGGACTTTGTAATTTCATTGACAGTAGTCTTTGTGACTTTGGTGCAGTGATATTACAAAAGGGATCGTTGCATAAAATGTTAGAATCCAACATATTCTATAAGTGGCAAGAATTGATATTCTTACATTTATAAAATGGATTGGGGGTTGTGAAATGAGAATGATTGGAAATGTGTTCAATTTGATCTATTTCACAAAGTAAGAACCATAGGTAAACATTGTGTGCATGCTAAGAGCATGGGACATGTGTAATAATTCAAGTAAGAAGTTGATTACCCGAAACAACAAATAATGAGTAATCGATATGGTGATAAATAAAAGGTATTTTATTTATGCTCAAAGGTTGAGGCCATATGGGATTAGTATTATTCTTGTGTTTCACTTTGCATGTTTTGACTTCCTGAATAATTTAATTAGTTGAGAACAGCCAAATTATTCGAACGAGCCACAGTCGTTCATATGTTGGACGTAGATATGAAATGAAGACTGTCATGAATTGGTGTGTGGATTGTCTAAAAGGGTATTAGACATAAGCAAATGTTTGCTGCAACGTTCATGAGTGCTTATGAATAAGATTTGAGCATTGGATTAAACCCACGCTCACTTGGATCACTCCATGAATTGTATCACGAGTGATTGGTGAGACGATAACATCTTATATTCTTGAAACTGAGATGTGTGAGTTGTATCTTGCAAATCGGTTGCACATTAATAATATGTAAACACACCAGTAACTTGGTGTCATAAAACATATTGTTGTGTGTGATTCGGTGAGTGAGTACAAGCAAGCATTGTATCAAAGTTTATCCGTTCCTTTTATCCAAAGTAGGATAAAAGCGATATCTTTGGGCCCCTCGATGATTTAGTGATGACAAACGTAAATGCTCGGCCGGGCTAGGGCTAATTTGATTTGTTCAATTAGTCAGTCGTCATAAATCGGAAGTTGAGAAATAGTACATAAAGAATGATTTGAAATCATATCTCATACGATATCTAGAATGGAGGAATATATGATCCCTTATCTAAAGGACATGCATATCTGATAGGATCAGAGTTGACAGCGGCTTTAGAAAGCTACGATTGCAGACCAGGATTTGAAATCATACGCATAATAGTTATTAGACTTATCCAAGTGGGAGACTGTTGGATTAGTGTCTAAGTCCATAACTATTTTGGTATGTACTTGACTCGATGGTGCATGGTCCTTTTGGGTTGCCTTCACCAAAGAAACTTGATAGGATGAATTATGAAGAGAAAGGATTAAATATGATTTATTAATATATTATGAGAATAATATATTAAAGGAGAAATCATATTGTTTTAATTAATATTAGTCAAGAATTAATTGGTAATTAGTTTTGTGACTAAAAGAGATTAATTAAACTTAAGGGACTGGAATTGCAATTATAAGATAATTGCAATTTGGGCTATGGATTGCCTTATATTAAGGAGTGGACGAATTCTATGGGAAAGCTCATGAGGAAATCATCCAAGGCCTTAAGGAAAGGAATCTATGGGTTGCTTAGGGCTTAAGCATCCAATTTAGGGTTTCCTTGTTAGATAACCCTAATAGCCTAACTATATATATATCCTTTATGACCCAAAAACGTGGCTAAGCATCTTTCTAGGGTTTCACACGTTTTAGGGCAGCCTCCATCCTCTCTCCTCTTCATCGTCTTGCTCTTGGTGTTTGTGAACCATTAGAGGAGTGACACTTGTGACTCTAAGATTTCTAAAGTCAACACAAGGAGGAATTGGATTGTTATTGCTACATAACAATCAAGGTAATGTCTTAAACCCATTCTTATGTTAATATGATTACTTGTATGCTAGAATTAGGGTTTATAGTCTTGGATAACTTGCATGTACAATAGAGAAACCTAGATCCAAGCATTAGGGTTTGTATGAGCACATAGGATGTTCTTATGACCAAAAACCCATCACCCCCCCCCCCCCGAGGATCGGGATGAAGAGCAGGGTGATGGCTTCGCCTTCCAGGTGGAGGATGTCATGGCATTGAGATATGCCTACTTCGATGCTTCGCCTTCCTCCTGTCGTAGGAACCGCTCCACTTGCTCCTTCATTTCTTCCCTTGTTTGAGGTTGTTTGCCTATGAGTTTCTGGGACAACGATCTTGGTAACACTCCCCATGTGAATGCTCCCTCAATTAAACCCATGTCGTGCCCTGGCACATCTAGTGTTGCTTTAGTGAACCTGGAAAATTAGTCCTTGACTGTCTCCCCACCCCGCTGTTTGCACCCAATAATTGAATGGCAATCATCCTTGTACTTCCAGAGTTGCATGAAGTTTGTTAGAAAAAGGTACTTCAGAGGGCTAAAGTTGTTGATACTGCCTGGGTGTAATGTCTTAAACCATGTCCCTGCGTTCCAATCTAAGGTAGTGGGGAAGTATGTGCACCATAAGCGGTCGTCTAGTTTGAGGGACGTCGTGGTCCATTCGTATGTATCGATGTGGCTATCTGGGTCAGTAGTGCCATTATATGTCTTAAGGTGGGGCAGTTTGGCGGTGTTAGGGATTTTGTATTCCAGGAGCTCTTTGATGAAAGGCGATGTGTAACTTCGTGATAAGCAATCCTGGTTTGGGGTTCGCTAAATGAAGTGATACCCTGGTTGTTGTATTGCCAAAATGGGTTGTACCAACATGTTATAAGTTGTGAGGTCTGGCGGTACCCGAGCCGTAGAAGCTTGCCGGCTGAAATGGAGTGGGGAAATTATGGGTCATGGGTATTTGTTGTTGGGCTACATGTATTTGTTGTTAGGCCATGGGTATTTGTTGTTGGGCCATGGATATTTGTTGTTGAGATATGGGTTTTTGCTGATAGAACGCAAGTGGTGATGCCGATGCGGTGCCCACCATTGATGACGGTTGGTTTTGCGGTTGTGGTGTAACATTTGGGCCGGTTATATAGTGTTGTTCGCATGTAAAAATGTTCATGAAAGGTGTCATAGGTGTTGTTTGGGGGTTGCTAGAACCAGTGGTGTTGGGGAAAAATGGTGGCAAAGTGGGTACAATGTATTGGTTAGGCACACCCCTGTTTGAGAATGGTAGGGGGTTGTGTGGGTTGAAATGGATGGCGATATTTAACTCTGGGTTAACATTGATTGTATGATTGCTAAAACGGATGGTAACAGGTTGTCTCGTGTCGTCATGGGATATGGTGGCGAACCATCAGACGACGGTGCTGCTTCAAGAGATGGTGGCGGGCCGCCGGAGGATGGCGCTGCTAGAGTGTCAGTTGCTTCCAACTACGCCATCGGGTGTATCGGGCTATGCGGTGGCTCCGACAATTCACCCCTCATCTTGTTCGTCATGCCTGGTTAGGTTGAAAAGAAAACAAGGTTTGTGTATCTATTGCCACACAAACGGATGACGCTAAATGATGTGACCTGGCTCCAAAACACCTTGGCTGCTGAATATGGTCACCGAGATAGAACTTGAAAGGTCACAGAGAAGGAAGATATGTCAGCCACTCTCTGGGAGGAGGTCCCGAAAAGGCGCTCCAATGGTAAAGTCAGTGGGATGAATCGGAAGTATGGAGGTGAATGATCGAGGAACAGAATAGCTTACCTCTCAAGGCATAGTAACCGACCTTTTATACGGAGGATCCTTATCGGTCCGTACGAGGGACAAGGACTGTGACTCCAATAGGATCCACCGTCCCTATTCGAGGATCCTGCTCCACATTCGTGTCCAGTCCAATGATCGGTCCATGCAATAATGCTCTGGCTGTGCTCTTTGTCGCTTGGATCCGTTTCCCTTGGACTGTGGCTAGAGGACAACGCTCTGACGAGGGCAGACCTTCCACACGGTTGCTGTGCTGGAGTCTGCGGTCGCCTACTCGGGGGGGGGGGGGGTTCGCTTGCTTCTGGCCCGCTTTGAGGGGCACATCATCAAACACGATCGCCGATCGATCCAATATAGGCCTGCACACCCGGTTCATGAGATCCATGAATGTTGTTGGTGTGTTGGTGATTCCGAAAGGCATCGCTACAAACTTGTAGTGACCATAACGAGTCCTAAAGGCCGTCTTCTGGATATCCTCCTCACATAATCTCATCTAATGATATCCAGATCTCAAATCGATATTGGAAAACCAAGATGCCCCCTTTAACTGATCAAACAAATCGTCGATCCTCGGAAGTGGATATCAGTTCTTGACTGTAAGCTTGTTCAACTCCCGGTAATCAATGCACATCCGGTGTGAACCATCTATTTTCTTGACAAAAAGGATCGGTGCTCCCCACGGTGAGCTTCTCGGTCTAATAAAACCCTTCCCCAATAGCTCCTGGAGTTGTGAGGACAACTTCTGCATCTCTGGTGGTGCAAGGCGGTAAGGTGCCTTAGCGAAAGGCACTGTTCCTAGAAACAAATGAATCCAGAACTCCACCTGCCTCTTAGGAGGCACACCCGACAACTCCGTTGGAAAACATCCGGAAACTCACACACTGTTGGAATCTCAGTGATAGAATTCGGCCTCTCCATCGCAACTCTCTTATCGATCACATACGCCAAAAAGCCCATACAACCCTACTATAAACTCTGTCTCGCTCTAGCAGCATACCAGAAAGCTGATCAATATCTGGTACCCTCGCCATACACCATAAGCACTCCCCCACTAGGTTCTTATATAGTCACCATCTGACGGTCACAGTCAATCATAGCTCCAAACCAACTCAACCAATCCATGTCGACTATGGCAGAGACATCACCCATTGCGATCGGTACCAGGTCTATTGGAAACTCAACACCAAAAATCTCTAGTACACATCCTCAGAATACAACAATGGCAAAAACCGCATGCTCGTCGGTTATAGAAACCCCCAGAGGTCGAATCAACGCCTCTCGTCTGACACTGATGTGAAGAATGAAAGCTAATGACACAAAAGATCGACTCGCACCCGAGTCAAATAACACTAGAGCAGGTACATAACTCACAAGAAAAGTACATATGTACAACACAGTATAAGCACAAAAAGTCTTAAAATAATAGAAATAAGGTAATATGTACCAGTCACGACATCAGGTGTTGCGCGGACCTCCTCCATTGTCAGCTGAAATGCTCTCCCATAAGCTCTATGTGCCTCAGCCTTCACTGGATGACCATCATTAACATGTAAAGTAGCATGTGAAAAACCTTGAGTTGATCCCTGAATGAGCTGTGGGCACTCAGCCTTCCGATGTCCTGTCTGGTTGTAGTGGAAGAAAACTGCAAACCCCTTGGAGCAGTCTTTCGCCATGTGCCCCTCTTTGCCACATTTGTAGCAAATCCCCGCATGACACCAACCCTCATGACTCTTGACACACTTGCCACAAGTGCGACCCTTCTGGACCCTAACTCTAATATCAGCGGGCTTAACCCACTTCGTCGCCGGCTGCGACTGCACTGGCCTCCCGTCCCTACCCCATGACTCCTCCTACTCTCTGGTCTGCAACTCAAGCTCAATCACCCTCCACCTGGCATTAGCCTAAAGCTCATCCAATGTCCGTTATGATGAGTTCACCACAAAATCTTGTATATCCCTCCTCGGAATGCTCAAATATCGGCTTACACGTGCCTGCTTGGTGGACACGTGCTCAGGGCAAAATATCGCCCTCTTGTAAAACATCCTCGAAATCTCAGTCAATGACTTTGTCTTCTGCTTGAGAGACAGAAACTCATGTGCCAATAATTCCCTCTCCACCAAAGGAACATACTCGTCTCGGAACATTTGAATGAACCTCTCCCATGTCACTGCAGTATGAATTGCAGGGGTAAAGCTGGCTGTCACAAACTTCCACCAGTCCTTCGCTCCAAAGCGAAGTTGGTTCAGTGCAAATCGAACTCTTAAGTGATATGGGCACGAACATGTTTAAAACACACCTTAATATAAGAGATCCATCTCATCGCAGCAATCGGATCCTGTGTCCCATCAAACTTTAGTGGCTTCGTGTTGTTGAACTCCCGAAACAAGGAGTCACCTCCCTGTGGCCTGGCAGTGGTGAAAGCTGTGGTGGCTGCAGCAGCAGCTACCTCAGTAACAACAGCTTATCGCTCGTCAAATGTCTCAATCAGTGTGGTCTTAATAGACCCAAAAATCTTGGATATCACCTCTCGTATGGTTGCGGCCAACTCCTCATGTATCATTCTACAAATCTCATCATCGCTAATCTCACTGCTCCGTGGGTTGTGGCGTGTACCCACCATGATGTCTCGGAAACACAATAAAAAATCATCATAGACTCGCTCGAGTATACTCACACTCGATCACTTGTCCTTACTTGTTCCTTAGCATCCTAAGGATTCTTACTTGGGTTGCATACTGATCCGGTGCTTTTAGTAGTACGGGCCCAATACTACCTTCCATACCAACCTATAGTCACCTCAAGTCCTCCTCCTAGATCCCAATTCACAAGCACTCTATCTTACACAAATAACAAACTACTCTCTCGGTAGAACCCTCAGAATTCATCTAGATATCTCTCCTAGATTATTTCTCAACTTAGAACTCTCTCTAGGTGATTCCTGCTAGATTCTCTTACTCAACACATACTCAGAGCACATATTAAATAGCAGCGGGTCCTAGGCTAAGGCATCACAAATCAGAAAACTCTAGTCTAAAATATGTAGTACCTAGCCTATCATCTAACATGCATAAATAATATCTCATAACACAAAAGTAAGAGTATTTTGGGAAATCACCGTTCGGGCTCTAGCTGATTGTATACACTACTCCAACTCGTTTTCTCTTAAAACTCTTTCTCGTTTTTAGAAAAATCATTTTCTTTTTAAAATTTTCTCAAATCCTCAGTTTGAGTCCAGACACACCCTAAGGTACATCTGAATCCCTCAAACCAAGGCTCTGATACCAACTTGTAACACCCATAAATTTTCAAACAAAATTTTCATTTAAAAACACGAATATCACATTATCACAATCACAAAAATCCCATAAATATCAAGTTATCAAAACACATATTCCAAAACACAATCTAGGATCCTCCAAGAACATAATTGTAGCTCGGGTGTGTGTACAATCACACTCGTGCCTTCCCATGATCCTGGGAGGTACCTGAGACACATAACACATAACATGGTAAGCATGAAGCTTAGTGAGTTCCCCAAAATACCACACACATCTCATTAGCCACTCATGGCTATACTTGAATAAGACCCTCCAGTCAATTTGTCTCAGTGGAACCCTCCGGTCCCACAACTTGGGTGGATCCTCCGGTCCTAACTTTATAAGCTCAGAATAATACACAACACAAATCACAAAGACATAATGCAGGATATCACAATACTCAGTATAAGCACATAAGACCCTCTGGTCACATAACTCGGATTACCATATTAGGTAAGTATAGTGAGAAGACACACATCTTAAGCAAGCAAGCAATAACCTTGTACATGAATACCGTACTAGCCTCCGCCTAACACATAGGATAAGTATCTCTAATAATACTCTATTCACAACTCTAAATAAACCAAAGGTTATTCTCTCTCTCTCTCTGTCTATCTCTCTCTCTCTCTCTCTTTCTCTCTCTCTCTCTCTCTCTTTCTCTCTCTCTATCTCTCTAACTCTTGGAGTGAGTAAAAGAGCATTTTACCCCTCCATGGTCTCCATTTCTCATGTTTGACCAAACCCTAAAGTTAACAAAAGTCAAACTCGAGTCAACAGTCAAAGTTGACCCAACTCGTCGAGTGCACTTGTGCAACCCATCGATTCCCCTCGTTTCCTCAGAAGCCTCATGAAGTCTAGCTCAACTCATCGAGTTCACCCCCAACTCGTTGAATTATCGCATGACCAAGGTCATCGGGACAACCCTAACCGACTCGTCGAGTCAGTTCATGGACTCGGCAAGTCCCTTCAATCTGATTTCTCATTCGGATGTTTCTGTAACGTCCAAAAAATTTCAACCAATTTTAAACTTTTCAAAAACAATCCATATTCATTAATTCATTACAAAAAGGTTTTCAATTCATTTATTATCAGAGTATTTCCCAGAACCACATCATAAATATATAAAACACGAGGAGCGGTACGATCACGCCTTCGCCTTGCCACAATCTTCTAAAGTACCTGAAACAATACACTGAAAACTATAAGCCCGAAAGCTTAGTGAGTTACCCCCAAAATACCAACGACATATACCATACACATAACATATCATATCATAAACAGAATAGCTATGCACTTCGGGTCTACTGCGTGACTGGTCCGCCGCACCGGGCCTTCAGTCCACCTGGTCCACCCTCCGAGTTTAGCAACATACATCGAGTCTACAGTGTGGTTGGTCTGCCGCACCGGGCCTTCAACCCACCTGGTCCACTCTCTGAGTCT